CCAGACACGCCTGCCTTTCCACGGCACCGCCAGGGCTCGCTGGCCCGCAGACCCGTTCACGTGGGAGCAGTCAGCCTGGGACCCGGCTTTTGCAGGAGGAGGACTCAGAGCAGCTGACATCTTTAGAGTTGGGGGCACCGGACCCCCAGGGGGAGCCCGGACCCCTGGGCGGCCCCCACCACTCCCACCACCGCTGAGCTTGACGTGACCCGCTTCCGGCCCCGGAGCGCGAGCGGTTGAGATCGGAGCGGCTCGCCGTTCCCAGGGCAGCACCGGCAGGGGGCGCCCGCTGCAGGTGTGCACAGGGCACGCGGCTCCAGGCTCCTGGCCTCGGGCAGCGGCCCACGGGCGGGGAGGTGGGCGAGTTTCCTGGGGCTGTTGTAACAGAGTCCCACAGATGGGGGTGGGGGTTAAGCCACAGGAATTTCCCGTCCTGGGGGCGGGAGTCCGAGGTCCAGGCGTGGACGGGGCCGGCTCCGCCTGGGGCCTCTCTCCTCGGCGTGGAGACGGCCATCTTCTCCCCGCATCCTCACCTGGTCGTCCCTCTGCGTGTGTCTGTGTCCTGATTTCTTCTTATAAGGACACCAGTCCTACGAGATTAGGACCCATTCCAGTGACCTCATTTTACCTCAGTCACCTCTTTAAAGCCCTCGTCTTCAAACACAATCACATCCTGGGGTGCTGGGGGTCAGGACTCCAACATACCCTTTTGAGAGGCACAATCCAACCCAAACAGTGAGGCCCTGAGGCGTCGTGTCCTCGCTTCCCCTACTCACAATGTCATCGGCTCGCAGCTGACCCGGAGACATCCACATCTGCCTTCACCAGGACAAAGCCCCCAGGACCACGCCACCCTGCCACGAGGAGGTCCCATTCTCCGGGGACTGTGAGTGGAAATGGGCCCCTCCCTTCCCTCCAGCCCTGGGCACCACCACAGCAGCAGGTGCAGGCCTCGGGCCCTGAGCCTTGGGGAGCGGATGATTCAGCACCAGGCAAGGCGAATGTTCCCTCCCACCTGAGCACCATGGCCAGGAGGTGACAGCACTCACCAAGCCTGCCACCAAGGAAGAGATGGGGAGGCAGAGGACTTGGGAGCTCAGGAAACTGGCAAAGTGGCCCATCCCTGGGACACGAAGCCTCGTCCCTGCCCCACAGCCAAGCTCCCCGCACGGCCTGGCCAGCCCTGCACCCTGCAACAGGCGCCCCCGACCCAGACCTCGGTGCGCGTGGGAGCACCTTCCACTTCCTGGACTCTCCCTCCCCTCCCACCACCTCCCTCGAAGCCTCAAGGTCTCCCAGGCACCCTCCTCCTTCCCAGCTGGTGGCCCCAGAGTAAAGGACGCCTGTGGCTCCCCAACTGAAGATAGGCCACAATGAGGCGCTCGACATACGGAGGGTCCAGAAACATCAGGCTGGGTCTAGGGTGGCGGGGAGAGGCCTCCAGACAGCCAGCAGGGGAGACCCAGGGACCAGGCCACAGAGAAGCACCAGAAGGAATTTCCAGCTCTACCGGGACCTGGTGGCTTCGGAATAAGTGGAGGCGGTTGGGAGAGACCAGAGTCCCTCCTCCTCCGTACCCGCCTGCCACGTGGCCCGCCCTGCCCTCCGCCCTCCCTGACCCACTGCCCTGCTGGGGTCCACAGAGCAAATGCCCGGCACCACTTAGGACCCCGACGCCAAGCCCGGGTCAGCTGGGCACTAGGAGCCGGAGTGGGGCAATGTGGCCCGCGAACTGGCCTCCACGCCCAGAAAGGCGGGCAAGCTCAGCCCAGAAAACCGCCAGGGCAGGCTTCCAGCACCATCAATGATTAACGCTCGCTATGAAGGGGCCGCCACCGCCACCGCAAAGTTCTTGGGAACCCAGGAGAGGCGGGGTGGCAGGAGGGCAGGGGCAGGAGGCACCGAGCCCAGTCTGAGAGCTGGGGCTGCTCTCCACGCCCTCCCGGGTCCCTCCCCCAAACTTCTTCTCGGCCACACCCAGATCTCCAAGTGTCTCCGACCCGTGGGGTGCTGAGCCCTGCTCCTGCACCAGGAGACTGGGGTTGGGGAGGGGGCTCGCCCAGGCCCAAGTCCTGGCCGCATGGGTGGGAGCAGCTGGGAGAAGACACCAGTCTGCACGTGTCACCCTGCAGCTCCCAAGAGCAAGGAGGCGGGCGGTGGAGGGGGTTGGGGGAGATGGAGGAGAGAGAAGGGAGGAGGGGGTTCCTCAGGGCTCCTGTGGCTGGAAGCCCCTCGTGAAACCTGAGGGTGGCCTTTATCCAGCCCTCACAGAGGGAGGTGGGGGACCAGCCAGCGGCCAGGGTGGGTTGCTACGGGGACCCTGACCTCACTCCAGTCCAAGCATCTCCCTACACAGACAACCCCGGCCAAAGCCCACCAGCAGGGAGGCCAGGCCTCCCTCACCCTCAGCTAGAGTGGAGCAGCCACACAGTGGGGGCTGAAGAGACTCAGAAGAGGACTTGGCAGGGGGGAGTCAGGAGGCAGGAAGTCCCCGCTGGCAGGGGTAGTGCGCGGGCAGCAGCGTCCCGCTCCCTGACGCTGGCAGGCGGGGCAGGCGGGGCGCACACAGGAAGGGCCGCGCTCCTTTTGGCCGGAGCAGGGGTTCCCCGACCGGGACGGGGACAGGATATCCTGGCTCGCTTCCCCAGCTGCACCCGGGAGAGTGTGCCCAGCCTGAAGGGCCCGCGGCGGCTCCCACCCTACCCAGGCCCCCTCCCTTCAAGGCCAGGCTCGTCCCCCCTGGGCCGGAAACCAAACCTGGCCTGGCTCTTAACAACCATTCTGCATGGTTCACCCTCTGCCCACCCAGGACAGAGCACTTCTCTGTCACTCTTTCAGCCGCTTCTCGGAGTGACACCAGAGCCAGTGTGGGCACCTGCCAGCCCTTTCTTGGGGCTGTGGCCAGACTCTGGCCCCTCAACTACAGGCCGCCGCTGCCATCCCAGCTTGAGGCCAGGTACCCTTGAGAGACTGGCCAATTCAGAGAGTGGCTGGGGCCCTGCCAACCTCCTGGAGACGTTAAGGGTGAGAGAGCACTTTCCCGGGCCCCAGAGAAGCCACGCCTGCTGCCTAGCCAGGTCCACCTGCAGGCCCTCCCCACACAGGGGTGGCGGGGGTCCGCTCCTTAGGCCCACAGCATAGCTCTTACAGGACGGGGCCGACAGCAGGAAAAGACTGACCTAAGGTCACTGAGCTGCCCTTAGGGGCCTCTGTTTCCCAGCCCCCCAGTACCCCAGGGGGAGCCACTCAGCCACCATCCCCAGAAGCCACCCCTGCCCTGGGGAGTCTGGGCAAGGCAGACTCTGCTGAGCAAACTTCCGAGAGCTAAACAATCAGAATCAGGAAGAAAACACAAGTGTAAGCAGAGACTTCCTCTGGGGTGCGGCGGGCCCTCCTCCTTCACAAGGCACCGCAGCAGCCAGGGAGCCCAGGCCACGTGCACCCGCAGCACCGCCTTCCCAGGGCACAGACCAGCAGGGTGTCTGCGGGCCCCTCACCTCGGCGGCCCTCGCTGCAGCACTGCCTGGCCATTCTCTGCCCGTCTGGAGCTGGCCTGCAGGGTTCCAGGAGGGGGGGCTGGGCTGGGTCTGCTCCAGGACTGGCAGCGGGGTTCACTCCACCCCTGGGCACCTCAAGGAGCTTGGGGTCCAGCAGGCGTGGGCGGGGAGGCAAGCAGCCCACGTGCCTAGGGGCACCCACAAGGCTGCTTTACACGTCCAGCATCCGACCGGGGTGGGGTCCCTTGGGGTCGACACGCACAAGCATTCCCGCAAGCCTCAAGACACGCCGTTGCCGCTGCAGCCGTGAGCAAGGCCGCCCTCTCCCGCAGCCCAGCCGTGGCCACCGCTCAGGTGTACTCCAGCAGCTCGGGAGGCAGGGGCTGGGGACAAGGAAGATGCTTGAGGGTACTGTCCTCAAGGCTTGCCCTTCTGCTGAGGAAGGCCTGCCCGTCCGCAGGGAGGGCAGCCACTCTGGTACCACCTGCGCTCTGAGGAGCAAAGGTGAGGCACCGAGGCTGTGCTGCCCCACCTCGCCGCACCTGCCGAGACATGCTCCAAGCCAGCCAGGGCCTGGCACCCTCTGCTCTCCTGGGCCCGGCCCCCTCTGCTCTCCTGGGCCCTGGTGGTGGCTATCAGTGGGACAAAACAGGGCCCTGGATACCGCTCCTCCCCAACCAGGTCTCTCCCAGCCTCAGGCCAGCCAAGGCAGCAGGGACAAGCACCTGCCCTGCCAACAGGAAGCCAGAAGGAGGCCAGCACACGCAGCCCCAGAGCAGCCCACGCCATCAGTGGGGACGGCCAAGCCAAGGCTCACAGGCCAGAGGCAGGCACCAGACCGAGAGGGCACTGGCCAGGCGGCAGGACCACAGAGTGGCAGGAGAGGGCTCCTTGGGCCCCTGTCCCTGAGAAACGCAGTGCCCTGCCGTGCCCGCCCCACACAGGCAGGCACAGGGGGAATCAGAACCACCTGGGCAGCAGCGGGGCCAGGTGCTGCCAACAGGGCCCTGCTTTCTCCTGATACACGGCTTCCTCTGACTGACCAGTGGAAATGGGCCTAAATCCACTGCTGCCTTGTATGCCCTCCAGGCTCCTCTGCTTCAATCCAGGTTTTCATGAGCCTAGTCGGGTTAACGTGGGGCCCTGGGCACGCCCTACAGCCATCCTGACCCCTCAGGCAACACCACCAGGCCTGCCACCCTTTGGGGCAGCCCAGCCCCTGCTGGCCCAGGAGATCCCCAGCAGGGCCCACCTCGACCTGGGAGCATCTGAGATGTTGCTGCACCATCAGGAGCACAGGCCTCCCCCCTCTTGCCTCACAGGGCCCTTGGGAATTCTCTCCCCTGCACCTGTCCTTTCGCAGAAGGATTAACACCTGGAGGATCCCTGCAGGAAGGAGTGGACCAGCTTTGGGCTCGGGCACCCCTCCCTGGATGGCAACCCACACACATATGCCTGGGCAGCGCCAGCAGGGGCTTTCCACCCCCACAGGGTCAGACCTACCCGTCCCTAAACTTCAACGGGACAGGTTCCGAGCCAGGTTCCTCGCCGTTTCTGTTTTCCTCATTAGCCGCTTCCTTCCCTCCCTGCTGCTCTGAGACGCAGCTGGGACGGGGTCCGGGAGGCAGCAGGTGGCACGGAGACCGCGCTCCCCCGACGCCCTCCCCAGCCCCGCGGAAAGCGCCCCCGGGCCGGCTGGCGGCGATACTCACACGGCAAAGTGGTAG